GAGCTGCGCGGGCGGGGCGCAGGCCACCCGCTCTCGCCGGGCCGATCCCGTCGACTCCCGGCGCTCCTCCCGTCCGGGGGGCCGGGGGGAGTCGTTGACAGGTGGAGGGGGCGCAGACCCGGCGACTCGGCAGCACAGCCGGATCTGTGGAAGTTCGCCCCGGCCCTGCCCAGCCCTGCTCTCTCGCTAAGGCCACCGGCGAACCCTCCGGTCGCTGTGACGCCCAGGGACTCTCCTGCTCTTCTGACGAGCCGCAAAGCCGCTCCAGCCCAGCCGTGAGGACTGCGGCCCCGGCTGCCTCACTCCCAGCCCGGCTCGAACCGTGTCCCTGCGTCCCAGCCCCTCCGGCCTCGCGCTGGTGCGACTCCTGTCCGCGGGCAGGCAGCCCGAGCTTCTCCTGCCCCTTTCCTTTTGATTTCTCATGTTTGTGTGCGATGCTCTTCATCTTCATAGTCTCCCCCCCTTTGGTACTAATCAGTGTTTTTTTTGTCTTTTCTCTCCCATTTATTTTTTTTCCAGCGATAAAAATCCGCTTGGAAAAAAAAAACCCCACTGACTCCGAACCTTCCCGTCGTCTTCCCCCTCCGACATCGGTCCTTGCTCCCTGGAATTTTTATTTTTTTCTTTTCATTCCTGCCGGGGTAGCGCGAGCCCCTTCCCAGTGCCTCTCCCGATCCTGCGTGTCCTGCGCAGGCAGCCCGGAAGAGGGCTGGTTCCGTCAGGAAGGATCTGGGATTCGGATTCTGGGTTCCTGGACAGCGGCCCAGCGAAGATCGTTTTCTTCCTGCCTGCCTTCCGCGCTCACGCCTTGGAGAGAGAGACTTCTTCTTTTTCAGTGTTCTTTACATTTTTGTTATATGAAGGCAAATTTTAACGTTGTACAGCTGATGAAGAACTCTAATATATTTACAAGGTCAGCAGGGGAACAAACGTCTTCTGGCCTCGGGATTCTCATGGCAAATTGCTTGCGTACGACCGAAGATGCACATTTTGTTTTTTAGCAGGGTCAGAACCTTTTTTATAATGACAAATTTTCTTTATTGACGCGAATTTAAAAAGCACAAGATGATCTATGTCTTTTGTAATTCCTGTTCTTTGTTTTAAAGTTGTTTAACAAAAAAATTGTATTCTAGCTACTTAGAAGCTCTCAAGCATTAACGCTGGCTGGGCCCCGTGTCCTGGGCTCTGGGGCTCGGCCCGGCCCGGCCTGGGCCCGGAGCCTCCAGCCAAGGTCTTGCTGCCCAGGAGACGGAGCCCAGCTCTGCAGCGGGTGTCCGGGAGGTCCTGTCGGCCCCCGTGCTTGATCTGTGCAGGAGACACCCGTAGGTGCACAGCAGCTGTGGAGGAGTGGAAACCGGCCTCAGCAGGCTGGTCTCTCTCGTTCCCTCCGGCTGCGTCAGGGTCCCTCGTGCACAGGCCCTCCAGCCCCCCTCCAGTGGGGATCAGCGTGGAGGGAGCACGGCTGGGGCAGCACGAGCCCGAGCAGGAGCGCTCGTGAACGCGTCCGCCTCTGGGGGATGAGCACTGGTAGAGCAGCTGGCAGCTGATTATATTCGATAAAAAACATCCGTTTCTGGCACTAAAGAGCTTTGAGGTAATTGGCTTGATTTTGTGAAGACGACCATCATGTCACAAAGTCGTGTCGCCAGGAACAAGTGCCTTATGTTTGTTTTTTTAAGAGATTTCGCGGTCCTTTTTTTTGTAGAAACTGACAGAGCTGATTTTCTATCTCTCGTGGTGTTTGGCAGCAGGGTGTCCTTGTACCTGTGAAACAGTGGTGTGGGACGCCACTGTGGAGCCTGTGTCCACTCGGCCAAGAGCGTCCCAGCGTTGTCCTGCTGCTCATTCCCCGTTTTCAGTGTCCCAACATGCTGCAACACTTGTCCACTCGTCCCGTCTTTCAGAGGGATTGGGCTTCCCTGAAGGGGGACGGAAGTTGTTTTCCATCCTCCTGTCCAGGGTGTGTCCGCTGGGAGTCACATCCCACGGCCCTCCCGTGTCCTGCTGAGCTGGGGCTTGTCCAGGAGCCGGGCTGGGCCGGGGGGGATAAGTTCTGTCACCCTTTTAGCTAGACGCGAGAGCCCAGCGAAATGGTGGGCAGATAGGGTCCAGTCGACAGGGATGTCGATTGTAGTGATTTGCAAACGCACACCCATAATTGCAAACTCGATTTTCATCCTTTCCCAACCTGCTTCTCCCCTGCAGTTGATTGTGGAGTACTGTAGCACTGTTGTCAAGGCAAGACTCGCACAACTGCCAGGAAGCCTCATGTGCTATACTCTCTGTGCTCATCTACCCTCTTTGTTTCTTCTCTTCACATCTGACCGATTCATCTGAAATCACTTGTTTGAACAGTTTCCCAGGTGTTCCAGGCTGGGGGGTCAGGCTTGTGCCCAGTGCAGTTGTAGTGTTGTGGTTTATTGCTCTCTGTCTGCTGCTGCATCGGCCTGTTTTTCGGACTGACAGAGGTTTAAAAGGCTGAGGCAAGGAGATGTCACTGAAGCTGCTGGATGTCAACTGGAGCGCCTGCAGATATGTGCAGGTGGTGCTCTGTGGCGCCGCCCTACAGGCACAGCTGGGTCTGTAATCAGGAGTTCTGTCTGGTGGCTGATGTTTGCTGGTGTTACTCTTCTGTCCTGCTGCAAGACCACTGTAACTGTCGAGACGCTTGTCCTGTAATAAACCCCTACACTGTGAGACTCACTTCTCTGCTTCGTTTCCTAGCAGTTTTTTTTTGGCCTTTTCCTCTTGGGCAAATTTGCATTTCAAAATGAAGAGATGTGAAAGTTTCCCACTTCAGTTCACAGGTGGTCTAACTTTTTCCTAGTTTATTTTTTCTAGCTGCAGCTGGACAGGTTTCCCTTATAAACCCTAATGTCTCACCTCATCTAAGCTTGGTTTGAAGTACCAGTAGTTAAGTTACTGTGTGTAGCAATTATCAGAAATGAATATTATGAGTATATTATGAGTTATGCAAACCATGTATAAGGGGTGTGAGTTATTCCTGATGCTCCCCGGTCTTGTCTGCTCTAGCAGAGCTTAACTGCAGCCTCAGTGAACTGAAATGAAGTCAATGATATATCAAGTCTTGTCCTCAGCTTTTTACAAATGGGCAGATATCGAGAGTTTAAAAATATGGAACAGCTTTAAATCTTTCACTGTTTCAGCTTCATTCAAGGTTCATCTTATCCACTTGAACTAGGAACTGAGTTAAGGAAACTTGTCCAGCTCTGGGCCTGGAGGACCGGTCGCCTTGTCTGCAGGGTTTTGTAGGTCTGTTTAAACCAGCACTATCTGAAGAGCGGGGGGAAACCAAACTCCCGGTCGAACCTGCAGCCGGAGCTCTCGGCTGGCGGACAATTTGTTTCAAATAAACATTACAGAACCACAACTGTAAACTTAATCTATTAATAATACATTGATGCAGTAAGTCTTTACACCAATTATATTTTAATGATATGCTTGCTTTACATAGTATATTCTTTCACCAGAATAGTTTTAATAAACTGAAGACCCAACTTCAGAGGAAAAAAAAAAAAGTTGGACCGGGTCTTGACAGAAGGTGATAAACGTCTAAGAATGACCATGCCTGCCAAACAGGGCTTATAGGAGTCCTGCACCGCCGGCGTCCCGGCCAGGTGCTCGTCTTTTTCCCACCGCGGGGTGGAGGCAAAGTCCACCTATTTCACAGACCCGGGCACGACAGCCGTCACGGAGAATTTAATTTATCGTACAGTAGGGACCCAAGGGGTTTGTTATCTTAAGCACCCAGTTAATGTTCCAGCCGAGCTGCACAAAAACAGTGCAACACACACGTACGTGTAGATACACTTCAGGTACTCGGAGACGAATTGTGTTGGTTGCACGACCTCGCCGGACTCCAGTGCGAGAGAAGGTGCATTTCTCCTGTCGGTCGCTAGATGGAGACAGTGTGAACGAAATCACCGCAGAGTCCAGTCGATGCCAGAACATGTCACCGTTCACTGGAAGTGACGACACCCGCTTCAGCTATGATGTAGCTTTATTTTGCACACTTTCTACTGTGTTTACATTTTTTTTGTCTGAGTTTACGCCCTCCGCTCTTGCCAATAGGACCTTCCAGTTAAGAATCGACACTACCAAATCAAACTGACAAAGCCAAAAACGTTGATTTTACGGAAGTTACATTTTCAAAGACCGTTAGAAAGGTTTCAGTCCCAGAAGTGTTCAGTTCCTTTGCTAAACGAGTCTGTAATTCATGTTATGATCACTGTGTGTAATCACAGTGGTTTAGCCTGACGTCAAAGGACATACATCCGTTTCTCCAAGTTCCCTCAGATATTGAATTGCAAGACAAATCTCATAACGAGATTTAACAAACGGACCGTGAAGACCAAGGAGCTCTCAAGGCAAATCAGATCAAGATCAAGTGGCAGAGAGGCGCAGATCAGGAGAAGGGCCCAGGAAAGTCAGGGATCGTGATCAATCAGTGGGACAGCCCAGATCACACCGGTTCTCCGAGCCGAGCAGCCAGGGAAGCCGGAAGCCAGCGGCTCCCCGGATAGATTCGTGGAGCTGCGAGTCCCAGGCCGGAGGCTCCGGTCCTACAGTGGGATCCGGGGATCTCGTTCCCCACGCGGCCTGTGTGAGCAGGAGGCCTTGACTGCAGGTGTCTGAGGCAAAGCGTGGAGATGCTGCTGTCGACACCGGCTGAAGGGTTTGTGGTCAGGCGAGACCCAATCTAGACGTTCGGGACCACACTCCGCCTGACCTCCACAGCCTATCAGTGGATGTGGAAGAAGACAAATCCCCTGAGCCCAGAGAGCTCCTCAAAAAACTCATCAGAAATCATTTAAGATGTCACTAAAACTCCCCTGGACTCGGGCATGTAGGACGTCAAGCCTACATCCAGCCGGAAACTGTTCTGCTTCATGTTTGTTGTGGTAGTTTACTGCACACCACTGCCCTGTGAATCATCCCCAGAATAATCTTTACAGTAATCTGCACAGTATTCACTGTGACAGTAACTAGATTAAAGGTTCTAATACAATTGTAACGTATTGCCTCTGCAGAGATTTTGCTATCTGAGTGCAGTGACCACAGTTACTCAGCGACGCATCCTCTCCAGAGCTGGCAGTCTGGGGGAGGAGGCTGCTCAGACACTTCCTGTACCTGCGCCGGGTGTGACCCCTGAAAGCAGCTCAGACTGCTGGCGCTGCTGGCTCTGCGTGTCGGGGTGTACCTGCGCCGGGTGTGACCCCTGAAAGCAGCTCAGACTGCTGGCGCTGCTGGCTCAGTGTCTGGGTTCAAGTCCAGACCTGGGGTGCTGTCTGTGTGGAGTTTGCATGTTCTCCCCAGGTTTGTATGGGTTGCCTCCCACAGTTCATAGACATACTGGTCGGTTAATTGGTTTGGGGGGAAATTGCCCCTGTGAGTGCATGACTGTGCCTATCTGCCCTGTGCTGGACAGGCTGGAACATGGATGGTTGGTTTTCAGAAAGACCAATGTTCTTGGCCATACAATTACAATCATTCAAGGTAAAAAGTAAGGTTTTGGTGAAAGAGAGACCTCCTCTCAATTAGAGTTTCTGTATCTGGCTGTGAATGTACCTCCTATTCCTCGGAAACGCAGGGAGCAGCTTTCTGACACGTGGTGTTCTGTAACGGTGGCTGTGAATCGTGAGTGAATAAGTGTGAGTGAATGAATGAATAGTAACAGCTGTTATCGTTGATCTTTTCTATCCCATCAACTCCACACACCTAAAACGTGGGTTTAGAAATGTCGTCAAGACGCTTCCGTTCACTGGGTTATGGGCTCGGGTGTTATTTCGGGAAAAGACCACAGAATCATAGATTTTCATTAATCAACACAGAAATTCCTTCGGTGCCGTTTATCATCTCGTCTTCTACATCGGCGAGAAGGGCACCAAGCGACGGATGTTTCACACGCCGCCGCGTTTGTGTGATATTTTATGCTGAAACAGCTAAACCAAAATAAAAAAGTCTTACCCAGCAGATTCCTACCTAAATGAGTGACTAACCCACATACTAAAAATGTTTTTGAAATAACACCGTGTCTTCCTACTCCACATATGAAGCGACCTCTTTAAGTTCTCTGTGTGTGTGAAAGCCGACGCCCGAACGCCACTGTATTGATCGTTCACGAGTGGGCCGTGAAATAAGAGGGTGGGAAACCGGGTCGCGGATCCCCGCGTGTTCGGAGTTCTGCCGGGGCGAATCGCTCCGCGTCGTGACAGTTACTGCAAGCGGGTCAGCTCACACGGCCTCTGGGCTGTTGGCCTGTGTGGTAGCGCTTCTGATAAGTCTTGGCACACAGAGCCCGTAAAGATCAACTGACCTTTGTGGAGTTAATTACACCGCTTATCGTAGGTTTACGGTGATGTATTATAGCGTCTAACATATCCTGGCGTATTGTAGCACATCTCAATGATTGTTCTTGCACTTCTTTACCTAGATTACGCATTCTGTAGCAGTCACCCAGTTCCTCAGAAGGAAACTGATATCATTGTGCCCGGGGCTGTTAATAATTCCCCGTCTCCGGGCAGATAAGCCGAGGTGTCCCTCTGTGTAGCTGGTCTGGTCTATCAGGGGTTTGTAAATCCCCGGTTCCAGCCGCGAGGGAGATCACCGTATTGCCCCTACCTGCACATTTCCTGCGTGTCGCAACACGGGGACTGCAGGGTCGTGCGAGTGGACTGGCCAGGGGCTACAACAGGGCCGGACCCCGCAGACCAGTGGCTTAGAGAAGACCGGGAAGGGGGGAGTTGAAATCAGTGAGAAACACCGAAGCTGAAACAAGCAGCTGGATTGTTTGTTCTTTCGGATCCCGAACTCTGAAGTGAGCTATACTCGCCATCCGGAAAGCGGGCTGATTTCTCCGAAGGGAGCGGGGGGGTTGGGGTGAAGATTAGAGGGACGTTGCTCTGCTGATGGAAGAGCCTCAGGACAGGGCTTACCTGCAGCGCCCTGCTCGGGACGGGGCGCGGTTTATTACGCGGGAGCCTTGTTGTAAGTAAGTTGCAAGTAACACACAGAAGGAAGCCTGTGCCCGTTTTCCTCTCTTCATCCCGAGTCTCGAGAATAACCCAGTCTTTTTATTGACCTCTGAGAGTAATCAAGGCATTCCCGCAGAATTGACAGTAAATAAGCGATTTAGAAACGCAGGTCCAGATTTCTATGGGAAAGGTCTATTTGTCTTGGAAACTAGCGTGCTTTTTTTTTGTTTGTCGTTCTTTCGGACTTTCGGAGATCACAAACCCATCTCACTCTCTTCCCCCGGACCTGAGATCCCAGCCTCGGACAGGCATCGCCTCCCTGCTTCATCCCCACAGATTATTTTTACAGGCATATTCCGACATTGTTAGGTCAAGTCTCATCTTTAGTTTTATTTTAGGAACGACTATGAAAAAGAGATTAAAAAAACGAGATGCGATGTCGGAGAGAGGCTGGGATCTAGGTCTGGGGAAACAGACGAAGTAAAAGGAGCAGCTAGTTCAGTCCAGGTGAACGGATTTTCTGTTTATTGTCACTCGTGTGTCTTTGTTCATCTCAGATATCTGTTGATATACACTGTCTGTCTCGGGGCGTGTCGGACAGAGGAACCCGAGAGCGGGTACCGGGGTGAAGACGCCATTGGATGTCCTTGTCCAGCGGTCTGCTTCGGGTTGTTGCTATTTCTGCTAATTCTGGAAAAGTTTTTTTTTTTTATCCAAAACAAATTACTCGTGAACCCATTTCTGCAGCCGGTTAATCTAGTGGCGCAGTCTGTAAATGTAGGACTCGCATGACCAGACTGTTAGTGTTCCTTGAAAAAGCAGCAACAGTAACAGAGAGAACACGCGAGGTGGTATATTTATATTTATATTTATATTTTTTTTTCCAGAAAGCTTTAGATAAGGTTCCTAAAAAAGATAATTTATCAGATTGCAGGTGGTAACCATTCAGGGAAATGTGAGTGATTGGATTGAGGATTTTTAATGAAATAGAAACAGAACACAGGCAAGGTGTGAAGACTCAGCTGAGGTGACGCAATGTGGACAAGTGCAGGGTTTGCATGCAGATACGTAAAACGTATAAAATGGCAAATTGAACCAGCAGAGCTTATGAAAATGACTGAGGTATGCAAATTAAATGACACATCATTTACATATTCTGGACAATGCAGTGAAGCAACTAAAAAACCAAACAAAATGCAAGGGTAGATAGTTAAAAGCACTGAGTTTCTCTGGAATGTGTCCACAGAAGAGCAGGTAGATGAAATCTGTGCTTAAAGGCAGTGTCCCACACCGACAGTCTGAGGGAAATTATTCTTTTCCATCTTTAACAAAGCACACCGTGAGGGGACCTGGTACCAGTATTCAAAATCCTAAAGTCACCTTCTTCCCAATGTGCAGTGAAACACAAGCCAGGGGGCACCAGTGGGGGCTCCCCTACACACACACGGCTGTCTGGGGAAGTCTGGAACAATCAATAAGGTTTCTTTCATGGAAGGTCTGAATAAGAACCGTGGGGTCAATTAACAACTACCATGCAATTAACTACTATTCGGATCACAGGGGGCGAATCACAAAGTCTCCATTGCAACTCAGCGGTGAAGTTCCCCACTCAGACCCGCCACAGACATGAACTCACAGCCTTGTTTGCGTATGTTCCTGATGCTGTCGCCTGTTCCAAGCCCGTACCGTGTGCACCACATATGAGAGCGCTTTCTGGGCTGTTTTTCTGCGTGATTTTCAGAAGCGCCCCAGCGCGGACAACGTGTTCTCTCCGCAGCAAAGCCGCGCCTCGCCTCCGAGTCGTCACGTAGCACATGCGGGGCGCCCTCGTGCACACGCCGCCTCGGCCAATCGCCGGCTCGGGAGCGGGCATTTAATTTGCATGGCCTGCGCCCATTGGCGGAGGCGGCTTGTAAACACGTTCCTTCGGCAAGTCGAATGCCCCTCGGAGCAGCGGGATGGTTTCGGCGGCTCCTATTGGCCAGCGGGGCCAGCGCTCATCAGCTCCGGGCTGGGATTGGATCACGTCGTCCCGGGCCCCTCCCCTCCCCCCTCCCCCCTCCCCTCCCTCCTCCCGGCAAGGGGTGAAGTATTGTTGTTTTGGCCACAGTGGCTCAGTCTGTGCTGTTGCATTGTTTCAGCACCGTGGATGAGAGTGTGCATTGACATTGGTGCACGATTTAGAGGGGGTGGTGACACAGAGATACCTGCACCGTCTGTACCTGAGGGCTGGTTCTCGGCCGGAGCAATCGCAGGATGGCGAGCAGCGCGCTGGGCGGCCTGAGCCGTGCGGGGTGGCGGAGGGGTGCGGGCAGGACACCGCTCTGGCGGGCGGCGCAGCTGCAGGGCCTGGCCTGCGGGAGCGCCGTGTCCGGCGGCTGGGAGGGCAAGGCCAGCCACGACAGCGGGGCCAGGGTCTCCGGCCACCCGAGCCCAGGGCCGGCAGCTGCCCCCGCCCCGGCCCCGGCCCCCTCCGCGGCTCACAGACACCAGGTCGGCGGCAAGAAGCGGGGCGAGGAGTCGGTGACCGTGTCCGGCCGGTCCTACTCCTCCACGGCCCCCCAAGTGGACCCCCGCACCTACCTGTGGGCCCGGTACAACGAGATGAAACGGCTTGTGCACGGTACGTGCCTCGGGGTTTGTTTTGGGGTCTTAAACCAGCTGTGATGGTCGTGCGTTTTGCGTCTTGGAGTGGTGGCATCCTGCGCTGACTTGAGGAGGAGGTGAACTCGCACAGCCGCTGCTTTCGGGAGTCGTGCCGCAGAGTTGGGGTGTCCGGGATGCGGGGGGGGTGGACTGTATACATGCCTTCGTGTCTCGCTGATCGTTAGGTCGTTTTCACAGGGGCAGTGCGAATCGATCCCAATAATCCTTTATTAACCTGCCGCCGGTCACTCGGGAGCCGGTTGGCTTGGCTGTGGAGACGGGAGAGCCGTGCCGGCCCGCAGGCTGATCGATGTTTTTTTGGGGGGGTGAGGCGCTGTCTGTTACCCCGAGCGGGGCATGTGTGTGTATTGTGCTGTCCTGGCAGGCGGCGGTCGGTGCGGGATCTGTCACCCGCTTATCTGAAGACTCCCCTTTTGATGTGCTTCAGCAATCCCCCATATGATAGGGGAAAAAAAGTAAAGTCTAGTTATAACTGTCTAGTTAAAATAAAGTTCATTTTAAAGCCGTTTGGGGAATGAAATGCGCACGTCTGTGTAGCTGACGCGTTGCGCACGGTATCGGCTCGGACCCCCGTCTGACTCCGGGGGCGGGTCACTGACTGACGGACACCGGGCCTGACCCAGGGGGGCTCCTGCCTTTTCATGCCCACCTGTGCAGATGGCTGCAGAAGCGTTATATTCGCTTTGGGTGACATCGGCCAGCCAGTGGTCTGGTGTTCATCAGCGGGGAGCGGAGGCTTGCTGACCCCAGCACAGCGCAGGGCACCGCCCGCTGGAGCACCCGTTGAGCATCCTTGCCGTGGCACCAGGGCCGTGTGCCCGCTCGGGGACACGTGTGGGTCGCTACATGATGTCCCGCACGTAGCCGGGCCGGCGGGGAGCTGTGAGCGCACGTCGGAAAGGGAGGCGAGCAGCCGGCGGCTCCGTGTCGCAGACGTGACGGGCATCATCCCGGGTCTGTCGCTTCTGCAGATCTGCGGGCGGCGGGGAATCCGGGGGGTGCACCCGAGCCCGGCTAGCGCTCCCCGGTGTCACCCCCGTTTAGATTGGGGGGCACAGCGCGCCTCCTCGCGACAGCCGGGTGTGCACCGGCTGCACAAAGATCCCAGACATCTTCCGAAAGTCCGAAAAATATCCACGGGTTCCGGAGGACCGTTCTGTCGAAGTGTAGAGTCGGGGGTGGGGGGGGGGAACCCCGAGTGGGGCTTCTTCAAAGCCCAGCGCGATCGTTTCAAGCGTTTATCACTGCGTCAGGCATTGCCGTCAGGAGCTGGAAATCCGGCCCGTTTGTCCTTTTCGGACCGTTTGTCCAGTGTGTGTGAGAGGGAAGGAGTGGAAATGAAAGCACGTCCCACAAAGTTTTTCACGGAAAAAAACATAAATATAAAAACGCCAAATTGCATGACTCGCGCAATATTCGCCCCCCCCTCCCTGCTCCGGAGCCGCGTGACGGATTGTCCGCGCTCGGTTCTTCGTCGTCAGATCGAGCAAAGCGACCAGCTCGCCACAGGACAGCCCGACCCGTTTAAAACCAGGAATGTCGCGTCAAATAACCGTTAAAGATGCCGTTTAATTTCTTATTATTAAAATGATTGTGCAATAGGTGGATGCTGCACACTGGTGGTGGTGGAGGGGAGTCCCCATTACCTGTAAAGCGCTCTGAGTGGAGTGTCCAGAAAAGCGCTCTATAAGTGTAAGCAATTATTAATTAATTATAATTATTGCAGTAGACCCAAATTAAATTCCTGAGCTGCTTTGATGTGCTGTCACCAAAACTGCATGGCGTTTGAATCGCCAAACCTTTGATTTGGGGAAATAACAGGGTTTAAGTCTTTTCTTTGTGGGGAAAAAGTGGAAGAGTGTTGTTTTCCCAGGTGACTGGAGATGGAAGCTGGTATTGTGTTGGAATGATAGTTGCCCAGTGTGAGCTGACTCCGCCAGGATCCTGTAGGAAGCTGGTCTTTAAGTCAGCACATTGCTGATTCCACAACCTGTTTGTTTTAATGTGCTTGCCGATAGGCCTTATCCCCGGTTTGTGTAACCTCTTTCCTTTATGATAATGTTAACAGTGTAGATAGTTTTTGGTATGCAAAGCACTTTCTTAAGATAACAAGTTTGGGTTCTTGAGATTTTGGTTGTGAACGTTATTCGGATCAGGAGCTCGGTATTGACCTGTTGAAATTGTGACAATGGTGTGATAAAGTGTCCCAGTGTTGCGCCAGGATCTGGAGGGGATAGGCCACTCAGCAGATGTTGAGAAGTAATCGGTCAAACTGAGTTCCCCTGTGCTGCAACACAAGGTGATTCTTCTGCAGCTAGAATGCAGCTTCTCTTCTTGAACTGCATGCAGCTCAGTGCGCACAGTCTCTGTACTGTCTGGGGGGGGTCGCGGCCTCTATACTGTCTGGTGGGGGTGGGGGGGGTCAGTCTCTGTGCTGTCAGGCTGGTTCTTCACTCAGCTCCAGCCCTCTGTCCGGTCAAGTCTGACAGGAGCTACAGGAAGGCGTTGCTTAGGAATGTGGACTGAAGTTTCGACAGCCACTTTGTCCTAAACCCGATCTCCAGCCTGGACTAACTAGCGCTGGGGTGTCCCGGCGGCTCAGCTGCTCTCCGGCATCGGTGTCATCGGTTTGCCAGCCCTCCCAGAAGGCCTGCATGCCGATGGCATTCCTCACGCAGGCAGGGCTGTGCTCCCAGCACATGAGCGCCGTCTCTCGGACAGGGGTCTCCAAGAGACAGGGGCTCGCTGTCTCCAAGTGCTTGGACCTAACAAGCCCTTCCTTTTTTATTTTGAGGAAAGATGGTTTTGGTCACTGCGGGACCTGCAAAATGCACCCCAACAATCACCCCTCTTTCAGAGCCACTGGGTCTGCTCCTGCAGTTGTAACTATATGCAACCAGGCCTGTCTGTTCTTACACGTGACCCTATGCATGCTGGGATTATTATTTGCTGTGTGGAAGCCCCTGTATTCAGTGTCCTGGGTGTCCCTGATTCACCCAGGGTGTCGCATTATTTTTGGTCCGCTAGCAGGTGCTGAGCTCTCCTCCAGATGTCGGAGAACCTGCTCAGCTTTTCCTGGAGACCAGCAGGGAGACTTGTGCCTGTCTGGAGTCTCCTGTGCAGAGTCGTGAGTTTTAATGCCGAGCTCCAGGCTGGTGTGTCTGGTTTGAGTGTGCTGTGGACTGGTGGGCACTGCAGCACCCTGCTTTCCTGAGATCGCAGCAGGCTTTCACATGCCTGGTGCTCATGAATAGCCACCAGTCCCATCGTTCCTTCCTGTGCCCAGCTGGACTCGGAGACAGTTTGAGCTTCAGTGAGTGTTCTTCACGCGTGTGGCTTCCTAATCTCTTCTGGCACAGGGGCGTGGTCCGGCGGTGCGCGCGTGTGCCCCCGGCTTCCTTATCATCTCGCACGCGCGGGTGCGTTTGGCCGATCGGCGGTCTTCTCCGCAGGGCCTCTGTGCCCCTCATGCGGCTTGGCGCCACGCCCAGCAGCTGCCCCGGTGTCGCCAGGGGGTTTCTCTGGCGTCGCAGCCGCCCTGCTCTGTGCGTCACTGCGGGCCCACAGGCGGGATTCCTCCGGGATGAACGTCGGGGAAAGAGGTGTCGGGATCCGAGTGTTGCACAGGCTGGGCGGCGTCGGGCTCCTGGTTTCCCGGGCTCCGATCGCTGACGCACTGCTTTTCCTCGCGGTGCCGTTGGGCAAGTCCCTCTCGCGCTCGAGGCTGAGCGGGGCAGCGCACACAGAATTGTGCAAGATTGTGAAACGGGAACTTTCAAATCCGGAGGCCGTGCTGCTTCTCAGGCCAAACGCACACTGACTCTCCTGGTTTCCATTTTTAATGGCCCTGGAATCCTGGCTTGTTGAAGAGATCTTGCTGGCAACAGTTTAATGCAATTCCATATCTTTGCTCCAATAGTATACAGCCCTGTTTTTTTGGGGGGGCTTGATGTGTTTGAGGGTTGATGCTCTTGTGCTCTTTGCAGGTTGATAGTTTCTTGCCGTTACCCATCCTTGTGCAGACTGACAGGTTTCCCCAGTGCCACGCTGCACCGATTTCTCCACTGCTGTGATCTGAGGCTGGAGCGCTGCTCCAGAGCAACCCTCGGCTGTCCCGAGCAGCAGCAGGCAGCTGAACCTCAGGGCAGTGATGAGAGAGGGGTCTCGTTCTGGATCTTCAGAATTGAAGGCGTCCTCACTGGAGAGGGGCTGAACTCCAGTTCTCCGGTTTCTGGAGTTCATTTTCCCTCTGCCCCCAGGTAGCTGAAGCAGGGACAAAAGGAAAACGTCACCGCCTTCTCTGCTGTGTGATTCTGGTTCCAACATGTCAGAGCAAAGAAGGCTGTGCGGGTGAATCTGGGCGCTGTCCCTGTCCTGGGTGGCGGAGCGCTGGAGCTCCTGCAGCTCGTCTGCAGTGTCCCAGCCTGCAGCTCTGGGGCCCAGAGAGAGGCTCATGCGGTCTCCCCTCACGAGAGTCACATGGCTCTGTGGACACAAGCCCGCGTGTTCTGGACAAACAAGCCTGCAGCTCTCCCGCAGAGAGTCCTGCAGTATCGGGCAGCTCTGGCTGCCTGACTCAGGCAAGGGGTGTGTGTGTGTTTGTGTGTGTGAGAGAGAGCCAGCACCAGGGCCAGATGTTTCTGCAGACGTGGCAGCTGAAACCCAGCACTCAGATCTGGGAACACCACAAGCCCTGTATCTGTGCTTCCAGAGCACTGCTGCACTGTCAGACGCTTGTGTAGATCAAAACAACAGAACATCCAGTATGACCAGCAACAGTTTTCAAGAAAAATAAGTAAATAATTAAAGGTCAAGGGGAAATTGGTTTAGAAATGTTTTTATTAAAAGGAAAAAAAAGGGTAAATAAGTTTCTTTATGGGTCAGAGTTTATGCTTTCTACTGTTACCTATAAAAAAAATTAATCTGCGCAGCCCTTCAGCCTTTGTCTCGGGAGGAGCTGTGGGGTTATTGACGAGGTGTATTGACGAGGTGACACAGGCGATTAGATTAATTTTCCCTCGAAGCACTAGCTCCCTGACATGCCTGAGCTTTGTCCGAGCCTCAGAGGGCTGGTGTTTGTACCAGAGGGAAGCAGGTGCTGTGTTTGTAATGGTCAGTAATTGGTTATATTTAAATGAAGCTTTGATTATAGGATATAAGCTTACTGTAAATAGCTCCAGGTGAAACAGGCTATTTCTGTTTTCACACCTCAGCGTGTGAGGCAGGTGTAAATAACAGTGTGCCTTTACCCCTAATTACAGCTTTTATCACCCTTGAAATGAACGTGGAGTAATGCCCATCTCTGTGGGCTCATTTAAATTTCCGTTCTTGCCTCAGGTGTTGCAATCCCTTTAACAATATCGTTTGATGTCACTGGAGCGTCACTCCTGCGGTTCCCCACAACGCTCGACCTGCCCAGCCCAAGAGCCCTCGATCCCGGGTTTCGGCACTCCTCTGGCCTGGCGTGGGGGGATCTCTGAGGGCAACAGCCCCCGGGGCAGCTTGGCTCTCTCCCCTCCCCCCTCTCCCCACACGCGGGAGCTCTTCCCCCAGGCGCGGGGGGCTGGAGGGGGGGCTGGAGGGCCGAGCGCGCGGGGGGCTGGAGGCTGTGAGACCGGCCTCACCGGCTCTGCAGAGTCTGTACAGCTCCAGCCCTGCCGGCCTTCGCAATCCCGTCGAGCTCCCCCGTCGCTTCTCCTCCTCCTGGGCTGGGGCGGCGCCCCTCGCTTTGATTCCGGGCGGGAGCCTGCGCCCCCAACTCTGAGCGCCCCCAACTCTGAGCGCCCCCGGCAGCCTTCTGTGGTCCCGAGGGGCTGGAACCCTGCCGGTTTCCCAGAGCCGCCGGGGAAAAGGCAGGAGTTGCACAAGAACGGAGGAAAGGTGGCCCCTCTGCTCATTTGTTAGTTACTAGTTAATGAGCTAGCACTAGTTAATTAAGTACTCGTTAACTACTAGCTCTTGCCCTGTTTCTTTCGGTCAACGGCTGGATATCATGTTCAACAACATGGCTGTGCAGCTCGTTGACAGGTGGCCGTCTGAAAGCTAACTGCAGCTGCAGCTTCGCAGGGGGTGTGGGGGGTCCTGGCGGGGGGGCGGTTTGGCCTTGTCAGCTTCAGGGCCCTTATCTCTGGAATAAGCTGGAGCTGCACAGACTCTGCAGAGCTGGAAGTCTGTGGTGGACGAGCCTGATCGCAGTGCCCTGTCTGGCCTGTGCCCGAGGAACCTGCTGCCACACTTTGCGGTCCGGGCTGAGCCGCGCGGATCGGCCGTTTGCCTTGGAATACGGACAGGAGAAAAGTCGGCGGTTCCACCGTGGAGCGTCACTGCAGATCCCCAATCGGGGATCCTCTTGTCTCCGACGCCTCGGGGGACTGGAGCAGTGGTTGCAAACGGTGCGCTTCCCGGCTCACTGGCCCCCTGATTTTTGTGTCCGTGTTCGAGCCGTGTCACTCCGCGCAGAGAGCGTGTGATGCCGGTGTCGGAGGCCAGGACGTCAGGGAGCGACTGGCTGGTCTCTCCCGTCGGCAGGCATGTTGGACCTGTGGAATGACTTCCTGTCCTGGTGATGCCACGCTGGCCGCTGGTGCAGATGTGGTGTTTGCACAGCGGTGGATGATCAGGCTGCTGTATCTGCGGCCTCTTGGGTTCTGTGTGCTCCAGACGTCACTGAGCTCAGTGCAAACGTTGCATAACCTCTATATCTTGGAGCTCTAATCTCTTTCCATTGGAGTCTTGGAAATATTTTCACATTAGCAAAGCATTTCTGTGCTCCCCTTCCTTTATCTTTGTTCCAGGTAAGATACAGCGAAGGATTAATGAGGCTTCACACTGTTGTTATTGACAGCCTCTTCAATGTCCAGTGGAACAGTATCTCCACAAATACGACCATGAGGCAGCGACACGCTTTTCATTATGTTTGGGAAAAATAAGTGCTGACCAGTCCTGCTTGATGATCACTTGGGAAGCAGCTCCACAGCGATGGGTTGTCCGTGCTTTCAAAACCAGAAATCTGACTTGGTGCAGATTTTGTTGTTCTGTTTTTCTCCTCTGTGTGGCTCAATTTTTAGGATTACAGACGTGTCTATTTCCTGTCACGTTTGCTCGTGAGCAGTGCCCCCCCCCCCCACTGTGTGGACTTTTATTCAGATCGAACGTCAGTTGCGATTGCGATTTCGTTGCAACATTTCATTCAACGACAGATCAGCTGAATCACAATTAAGCAGCAGTGGGGTATGTGTTCTCCCACACCCTGTGGCGTGCATGATCGTTATTTCGCACTGTGTGCGTGCAGTACTCTGCCGTTCTCCCCAGCATGGACACAGTGAAGGTGCGTTCGTTTTGGGTCGCCCCACATGTCACAGCAGAGTATGAGATAGTGAGCCGGAGTCTGTCTCTAGACGTGGCTGTCTGACTTCCTGGGTAGTTGTGCCGTTTCCCCCTGGAAGGAGTTGTGTGGCTGTGGGCTGTGTGGTCTGTCCAGCTCCCAGGTGGGAGAGTCTAATCTCAGGGGGCATCTCTGCTCTGTTTACAAAACCCAGCCTCTCCTCCAGGCAGAGTTCACACCTGCTCATTTTCCCCATCGGCCCATAACCCTTCCTGGGCGCTGATTTAAGAACCCCTTGGGGCAGGCCTGAGCTGAGCGCGAGAAACCTGTTTGTGTGTGGCTGTTCCTCTTGTTCCTCTTTAATAAATTAAGGCTACTTATCTCCTGTTGTGTTTCTGGGGATCCACACACCTGCAGTATTCTCTCCTGCTCCTGGACGGCTGCTCTGCTCATGGTCACCTGAGAGCCAGGAGACCCTGGAGGACTTGACTTGAATCGGTTGTTCTCTGTACCTTCCTGTCTGGTGGTCACTCACACCTTTTTTCAGAGGCTGCCCTTCATTTAAACACCACCTTCAGGCTGTGATCTAGTGGACACCTTGGGTTGTAATGCTTAGATCAGTGTGATCTAATGGGTCCCTGGATGCTTCCTGTAAAACCTGCCGGTCTCCGTTTAGGTTTCCATTCAGATCAGCAGCAGCAAATAAGTCCCAAGATGAAACGGGTGCATAGACACGGTTTACGAAGTGGGTTTTGTTCTTGTTTTGACCTGAATCCCAGCCGATCGTATCGGCCTTTCAGGTCATGGGTGCGCCAGACGCAGCGGAGGCTGAAGATGAAACGCGGAGATTTGAAACCCTCTTGAGCCCGTGACGGGTCTGAGGGTGCCGTTGGCGGGTGTGGCCCCTCTGCAGCCGGGGGGGGCGCCGGCGCTGCATGGGCACGGCCAGTGTAGTAACCCCCCTCCCCCCCACTTCTGTTTCCAGACCTGATCCCTCCTGGGGTGTGCAACCTCCTGAACCCCTCCACCATCTACGCCAACAACGAGGTGAACCTGGCTGGGGTGGACATCTACGGCTTCGACTACGACTACACGCTGGCTCTCTACTCCAACGCCCTGAACTCCATGATCTACAACACAGCTCGGGACTTCCTCATCAAGCACTACAAGGTCAGCCCGCGCTCGTCCGCCGTTCCAGCGGGATTCTCGCCTCTTTCGTCCGCTTAGATCCCTGAGGCTTCTTGTGGGAGCAGAGCTTCTGACCCGATGTCACGGGGTTCCCAGGGGAGGTAGACCCTGCACCCCCCTTTACTGCTCCTTAAATGGTTACAGTCCGACACGGATAGGCTTCCCCACGGCATTTCCTCTTTAGAGTTATTTTGTAATGGGTTAGTATGTCAATAATCCTCTGCATTCCTTCCCCATTTCCCGCAGTATCCCGAGGGAATCCGCAAGTACGACTACATCCCGAACTTCGCCTGCCGGGGCCTGCACTACGACATCCAGAAGGTGAGGTGCCCTGTCCCATCTCTCCCCGCGACATCACGGTCTGATTAACGTGGAGAATGGACAAAACAACGTCAGTGCTTCGGGGATGGCGCCTGCATTTCGGGTGTTTGTTTGTTTGTTTTTTTGCGAGGAGACTGGTTTGTCTGCATTTCCAGGAGTCGGCGAACTGTGACCTTTGTCACACGGATCCCCGCAGCTGCAGATTCACGAAACGTCTTGCTGGCTGAAGAGCGCCGTGCTGTGCGGTCGGGTCGCTGGTTCTCTTCGGCATTCGGGTCGGGTTCAGCGAGTGCCAGTACAGGACATGCCCCTGCCCTTGTCTGCTGGGGGGGTATATCTGACTGATGCGTCAGTCTTCCTCTGGGCTTTTTCCCCAGAATTCCCAAACAGGACCCTTCTTCTCAGATCCCCACGTGTTCCAGTTCGGTTGTCGCCACGTCAGAAATTGGACTAAAATAGACGATGAGACGCTTTGTGTTCTGGGACACTGCACTCGGCATTGACCAGTGTTGGTATTGATGGATTAAAGATTGATCACATGTGAGGGCAAACTAAACAAACAAAACTAAAGGAAAAATCATAAAAAACAAAACGCCTGAGTTTTGCAAAAAATATTAATATATTTTTGTGTCAGGTTTGCTGAGGCTGACAGCCAGCAAATCCAGCCTTTAGTGTTCTGGGTCTGTACAGACATTCGGACCTGTGCTCCTCTCCCGGCTCAGCTGCTCAACCGGGGAGCCCTGAAATAGGAACTGCGCCCCCAAAGTCACAGCCTCTCAAGACCGCTCTGGTCCAGACAGTCTGCTGGGCCCCGGGCTTCGAAAGTGCGAACTCAACAGATCCGTTTCCTGTTTCCGGCAGGGGCTGCTGATGAAGATCGATGCCTTCCATTACATCCAGCTGGGCACGGTGTACAGGTGAGGCCGCGTGGGGGAACGACCTTGTGACCTGGCCTTCCTCCCGCTGGACGCTGCTGTCCGCGCGGGCGGGGCTTGGACTGACACCCCTCCTCGCCCGGTCGGCTCGCTCTTGACGCCTGCATTTTTGCAAGCTAAACTTGGGGGGGGGAAATACAGTTGAGTTGCTAACCGGGACTTTTGTGTCCCCATCCGTAAAGATGGGGTGTTAGCTGTGTGGGGTTCGCATGTTCTCCCCAGTTTCCTCCATCCTCTCCACCTCCCAGACTTGAGCTGGGGTTCCAGGTGGTCCCGTAGCGGTCAGCGCGTGTGCGTGCTTGTGTGCCCAGCGGAGGATGACGTCCGCCCCGGGTGTGGTCCCGCCTTGCGCCCGGCGCTCCTCGGACGGGCTCCAGGCGGCTGCGGCCCTGGCCCGGAGTGGGCGGCGTGTCGGTGAGGGGCTCGGCCCCTCGGCTGCGCCCCCGGCGGGCCGTGAAGGTGATAACGGCTCTCCTGTGTCCCCCCCCCAGGGGCCTGAAGCCCGTCCCCGACGAGGAGGTGCTGCGGCTGTACGAGGGGACGAACCACGTGCCCCTGCACCAAGTCAGCGGCTTCTACGGCAAGGTGAGCCGGCGCCGTCTCCCGCCTCCGGCCAGCTCCGCTCGGGGCGAAGGGCACGGGGCCCCGCTTCCCCTTTTCACCCACAATGCCATTGAAACTTGTGCGCAACGTGGCTAAGCTTGGTGCCCAGTCACTGGGCTGAGTTTGTTAAAATTCCCCAGTTACAGTTCTCCCCTATGTTGACCCCGCTCCAGTCTCGGAAAGGCATCGGGGTCTTTGTTTCCGAGAGCTGGGAGCAGCTTCAGACGTGAGTGTGGGATCCTTCATGTTATTGTTACGTTTGAACTCCCCTTAATTGGGCCGGCTTTCAAGTTAAACAGGAACTTGACCGCTGTTTGTGTTCAAATCCCTTCTGTTGTAATGATGGCTCCCGGTGGAGTCTCGGGAATGTGGGAACAGGGAGTCTGCCCCCCTGCTGTTGGATAATAGCATCAGGCACATCAATTAGTCAGTATGAGCCTTTCATCTTGCAGTATTATACAAATATGCACTTAAACAAAACAATGTGATTTAATATGTGATTTTCTAAGAATCCCTGTAGATTCTCGTATAATTTTACTTTGTCTCTTTGGGAGCACAGAGACTTGGAAGTGCATCAGTGTTCTGCAGTTCTCTGTAAAACAAGAGCTGAAAGCCTCCCAGTCCCCCCAGCCCCCCAGTTTCCCAGCTCGGAGCTGACAGGATGCCCACAGTGAGCGCGTCTCCTCTCTTCTCCACCGCAGGGGCCCAAGATGAAGCAGTTCATGGATGTCTTCTCCATCCCTGAGATGACCCTGCTGGCTGTCGCCAACGACTTCTTCATCTCCAACGACATTGAGTACGACCCCGTGCACCTCTACAAGGACGTGTCGGTGAGTGTTCCTGCCCAGTGGGACAGATGAGGTTCTGGGCGTTGGCATGGTGCAGCACTGTCCAGTCCTGCTCCTGCCGGGGCCGGTCAGTGAGTCTGCAGCAGGGCTGTCCAGTCCTG